CCTGAGGTGGAGTTCGCAAACTGAAGCAAAATTTTGCAGCCGGAGCTGGTCATAACCCGAAAAGTTCGTTAACAGAAGCGTTCGTAACCCGAGGTTCCACTGTATAGGATTTCTAAGGCTGCCCAATTCAGCTAGTGTGACTCTGAGCGGCGTAGAGCACAAAGACTAACAACAAATCCAAGTAGAAAAGTACAACAACCCATAAACGATACAATACAATATATAAATATAAAATTTCTTATATGCAGCCAAGCATATAAGAAAACACTCACAAGGGGTCTCCTGATCAACTGCCCCTAATGCCTGGAGGAAGTTAAGTTACCCATCAATAACTCATCTGGGTTAAGGGCTCCCTAGAGAAACTCTGGGACTGTTAAATTTGCAGAGCAGCAGAGAGACTTCGTTTTTCAGAAACTCTCCCAAAACTGTGGGGAAAGAGAACATGTCAGGGCTCCATCCTTCGTAATCCTCACCCTAATTTCCAAGTGAGGCGAGGGGGGGAAGCAGAGGAGCAGAGAGACCCAGCTTCAGGGCCAGGGAAGTCCACGGTGGGATTTGAGGCTTAGTCGCCTTCTTTCTCAGCCCAGCCTTCTTCCTAAAGCTGTGGTCGTTGTAGTAAAAAGATTGAGGGGTACCCCGTCTTGAGCTCCTGGAAGAAAAGCAGGATATAAATCTAACAAATGAATCAAATAAAAAATCATCTTGAGAGCAGAGATAGGCCTTAGACCCAGACAATATGCTTGGGGTTGACACTGGTGGAGCGCCAAACATGGCATGCTGTTTTTCATCGCCTGGGTGAGAACGAAGCTTCACGTGGGAACGGTGCGATTGGCAGATGTTTCCCTACCAGCTGACGATGGGCTGAACCTGGTGGAGGATAGCAAAGCCATCCATCTGGCCTCTCAAACTTGAAGAATTTTAAACATGCCACATACACGCTCGCCTTTCCCATCTTGCATCCACATGGAAAGTTTCAAACTTCTGCCTCTACCATCCCAGAGGCAAACTGTTCATTTCTTTAGATCTATTTATAACCTTTTCGCTGCTAAGTGGGAAGATTACTTTTGTTAGGAGAACCATTAACTAAATGTAAACTCCAAAGTAAGATGAAGCAAAGAGGGGTGTCTGTGGTGTGTGTGTGTGTTAAAAAAAGTCAAGATGGGGCCTCTGCAAAGAGGAATCAAGGAGGGTCAAATGATGAAATGAGCCTCACGTTGGTGAGACGCAATCTCTTTTGTACCTGCATTGTGACGTTGCTGTCATAGCTGAGAAAAATGGTGCAACACTGCTAAGGTCACTTTAACAAAAGCCTCTGATCCAGTATAAATTGGGTTGGAATGGGATGCCTCTCCAGAATAAGAGGAAAGTGACTACGGTAGGCAAATTAAAATGTCCAAGCTGCCCCCTTCAGACCCAGGCTCCTGAGTTCATCCATCCATCTTTCCATGGAGCTGCCTCCACACCTTGTTCAATGACTGAGCCAGGTCTGAAACCTGCACTGTTCTCCTCCAAGATCTATTGCCAACGTTGCAGTTTGGCCAGGTTTGGCAACATTTTATGTATGTATGTATGTAGGTAGGTAGGTATTTATTTATCACATTTATATAGCCACCCATCTCACACAAAGTGTGATGTTCTAGCCTTAGGCGGAAATAATAGAGCAGGGTTTTCATTCGCTGCATATCTAGGTCGACCTACTACCTTCTCCTGCTCTGATCCCACAGATCAAGGTTGGATCATTAGTGCCCCAGAGTTGGGGGTAGGTATGGACAAGCAACAGTGATATCAGCCAGTGGATGTTGAATCAACAATCAAATCATTTTTTCCAGCGTCAAAAGGGCCAATCTTGAGCACTAATGCGTATTGAATGTAGTGGAATGCTCTGATGCAGAAGGTCACCAGGCTTTCATGAAAAAATAATGTTCCTGTTAGGATAGCATTCTGATGTTACTAAATCCACGATGATCATGTTGCCTGATGAAGTTATATATCCAACAGCATCACCTTTTTTTCTGGCTGAAGGAGATGAAGTTGAAGAAGTTGAAAATTTAGCATGGAGCACCCTCTACCTACCTCTGGCAGCAAGTCTATCCTTCTCTAAGTGATGTCTTCTCAAACAGACTGACCCAAATCCAGGCCCTAGGCTGTAAGGAAGGCGAGGAGTGATATTTCTCGTTTCTTCGCCACAGTCTCTTCCTGCACCAGCTTTTCCTGTTTCTGCAAGGAAGATGAGGGCACGCTACGCTTGAGAAGAGAGACAGAGTCTGGGATCAGAGAAGCAACATGGCCAACCAGCTCTCAGAGGAAAAAGTTGCAGAGTTCAAAGATGCCTTCACACTCTTTGATGAAGATGGGGATGGGCTGATCACCACCAGAGAGTTGGGAACTGTAATGCGGTCCCTTGGGAAAAATCCAACGGAATCTGAATTGCAAAGTATGATCAATCAGTTAGATGCCAACAGCAATGGCAAGGTAGACTTCCCAGAGTTTCTGTCCCTGATGGCCAAGAGGACAAGGGGTTCTGACAGTGAGGAAGAGATCCGAGAGGCCTTTCGCGTGTTTGATAGAAATGGAGATGGCTACATCAGCACAGCAGAGCTGCAACATGTCCTGACCGTCATTGGTGAGAAGCTGACAGGCGAAGAGGCAAAGGAGTTGATCAAGGAGGTGGACAAAAAAGGGGATGGGAAGGTGAATTATGAAGACTTTGTACAAATAATGATGGCGAAGTAATGGCAAGGTACAGTTTTTTCCATGCTTGTTATTATTCTGTGGGGCTATTATAAAATTGGATGTATAGCCAATGCTATATCCAAAAATCGGAGGATAAGTCCAGAATATGCTACAAAGTGCTTTGTAATTATTATCAGAATTACGCTGAGGTGCTGAGAGGTTAGGCTAAAGTGCCCGGGGGACTCAGTTTCTCTGCTCCCCTGGGGTGTGTGTTGATAGGCTGAGATCCCCCGTTTTGGGAACCAGAAGGTATAGGATGGTGGGTGCAGGGGCCTTGGGGGGACTGGGGGTGGGTGGTAACATCATGGTGGTGATGGGTTGG